TTTGTATGAGTTGCTTTTGTTCTGTCATTTATATAAAAATAAACGTTCTCGCTAAATAATAAAATAAACTTAAAAATAAACGTTGTCAGAGGTGAAAAATAAATTTAGGTGAAGTGGTGAAATCTCACCTCTTTTTTCACCTCTTTTTTCACCCGTTGAATTCATTACTTTATAACTCTCTTCCTTTCTCCAACTCTTCTAACTTCTTCTTAAGTTCAGCAATGTTGTCCTCATGAAGTTTAATCTTTCCTCAAATACCTTCTTTATCTAATGTTGCTTTATCTTTCTAAACTGAACTCTACCATCCTTCATAGTATGAACGTAAAAACCTTCTGGAACCGCTCCTGATTTAATGTATTCTACCAAAAATTTTTGTTTCATTGCTTCAGTGACTTTAGTCGTCATTTTACTCTAAATAAAAATGTTCAAATAAAATAAAACTAATTATTTTTTCAGTAAGGAAACGCAGGAGTTTTACGATTTATTTGAGGAGTAGGTTCTGGTTTAAATGTTGGAGTCGGTTTTGGAGTTGACTTTTGAACAGGAGTTTGTACTTTCATAGGTTCAGGAGTCATTGAAGGTGTTGTTTGTGAAGGCGTTGGTTTTGACGTTGGTTTTTGGCGATGGTGTCGGAGTTTGTTCAAATTCAGCTACTTCAGTATTATTTATAACATTTGCTTTGTTTCTTTTCAACATCATTACTGCTCCTGCTGTAGCTAGCAAACCTAGTGGGAGACCATATCTTATATAAGGACTTGACCAAATGCTATTTTTGACAGGAGCTGGTGGAACACCTAACCTTGGTGAGACTGCTCTTTGCCATTGTGCAGCTCGTAAGAAATATTCAATAGGTGCTCCATAATCGTTTGGTAAAGTTTGTTTCACAGATGGTGAAGGTTCACGAGAGCTTGATGAAGAACTCATTTATAAGCTTTAAAAATAAACGTTCATCCTTTATTCCTCACTGTCGTCCGCTGCTAAGTTATAGTCGTCAAGTCTTATTATTGGTATGCCTGACTGTCTTACTTGTATTGCAAAGCAACAATCCCTCATAAATCCAATAAGTGGCTTTGGTACATTTTCTGTTGCTAGTTCAATAGGTCCTTTAACAGACAATTTGTATGTTATTGGAGCAGTAGATGTTTGACCTTGCTGGAAGCAAAAGTCCACTTCTGTTGGAAAACCACATAAGAAATGTGTGTTGTCATAGCTATCCCATTTATGTTCCACACTACCATCATCCACCAATGACATATAACATCTTCATTAAATCCAATCATATCATTGTTTGTATTGCAAGCGTTCGCAACCATTTCATAAAATACAGGTCCATATGATTTTTCAGGTTCTGCAGGCATATTTCCATAAGCTCCCATGGAAAGCTGAAGATATTTAAACTTAGGGTTCTCAAAATTAACATAATAGTTGTCTTTCTTTCTAAATAGTGCCCAAATACTTTTAACATTAATAGGCGTATAAGCTGCTGTAAATGTTGCACTTGAACTATCTGTATTCTTTGAGAATGAACCATCCATAGGAATCCAATCCATAACTTTAACAGGAAAACATAAAGCCTCGTTTGTATAATGTTCTACAAGTTCTGTATAAATGTTAGGGTCTAAAGAGAATGACTTTGGATGAATAAAACATTCATTAAAATCCATCTTTGTTCGAAATAGTTGCTGGTTACAGTTGTAATAGTAACTGTTCCACTAGCTTCAGTTGCACTCGTTATCATAGTGAATGGTTCATTCCATGGAACAAATTTATTTGTCGGTGGATTTGAACCTGAAGCAAATGCAACTTTAAGAGTTGGATTGAAAGCAATGATATCATTTACAGATATAGATGTGCATTGTAAGGCGTCGCTACTGAACTTTACTTTAAGCTGAATGTTTCCTGCAAAAGCTGGAATAAATCGAATAGGTTCTAATGGAAGGAATCTTCTAACAGGAATTCTTAAACGAAGCTTAAAATCAAATGATTTTCCTGCTGTAATTGGACCACAACAATTTGTCCTGTTCTGCATGTTCCCGAATGACTCCATACATCTTTATGTCGAGTCTTTGAAAAAACATCGACTTTCTTTATTTGTTCGGTAGTTTGTGAGTTTGAAGTTATATATGCTTCTTCTCTTGCGTTGTCTTGAGAATATACGATACGACCATTTGCAAGGATTTGATATCCAGCAACTGCATAGAAAGCGTCATCGAAACCAATCCAAAATCCTGGTGGGTTTGTTTTATTGGAACCTGAACCAATTTCTTTATCTACAATAAATTGACCTTCCATTTTATACGTAATGAATGTATTGTAAAGGTCCAACATATTTTCACCAGGAGGTGAGAGATTGAATGTTACCCATGTGTTATCTTTAGCAGTTCCAGGTTGTGATGGAATCTTTGCGTCAGAATATTTTCTATTAGTGTCACCAATTTGAACTGCATTGTCTATGATATCGAAATATGAGCGAATCTGATGAATATGCTCTGCTGGAGTAAATTCGTTTAACTGTTCGTTCTGCATGTATTTACTTCAGATAAAAATATCTATTTACTTCATTATTCTCACTCTTCTTCTTGGTATTCGTGGTGGAAGTTGTTTCTTGACATTTTCAATGAACTGTACATTCTCTTTTGTCTCGACTTCTTTCACTGGTGGGTCAGGGTTCTTTGACTCGGTTTGCTTTTCAATGAAATTCACGAACTTTGCAATAAGCTCTTGGTTCGTTATTGAAAGTACATCTGGCTTCTTTTCTTCTTGTTCTTTTGGTGGCTCAGTTTGTACAGAAGGTTTTATATGGGCTTCGCCTGGCTTCACCCTTGCCATGCACCTTAATGTTGTCGCTCTCTGTATTCGCTAATGGAACCTTTCTTTTTCTTACATATATTTTACCATCTTTACTCTGACTTACATAATAGAAAGGATGTTGTATTCCTCTGGCGTCATTTAATATAATAGACTCTCGTTCTGATTTTGACAAGCTCATTTTACATCGGTTAAAGTTTTAATTTAGTTTTTTTATCTACAGTCAAATGACTCAGTCAAATCCTACGGACAAGACCCAAGGGGTCATAGATGTTGAAGCATTGAAGAAAGAAATTCGTGAACAAATTTTATCCGAACTGAAGGAACAAAAACCAGAACAAAAGCCAGAGAGACCAAAGAGAAAACTTAGTGAAAAACAACTAGCTGCATTAGCTGCTGGAAGACAGAAGAACCCACGTTTGCTGGCGAAAAAAGCTAGAGAAGAAGCAAAAGCAAAGGAAGAACAAAAAGCAAAGGAAGCTGAAGCAAAGAAAGAGTAAATGGTTTATTTTTATCCAAACTAAATGTATAGACAAAATACCTTTATCTGTTGCGTTCAGTAGTGAAAACCCTGACGTCAAAATAAAGGGGAACAGAGTAACGTTTAAGTTTCCAACAGACTGGATTGTGAACATAAATGAAGAGAAGTACATTGGCATAACATCTATGTATATAACACGTGCTTTCAGAAAGGTTGACTTTATACTTCAAGTCGAGATAGAAAATGACGAACAGTCTTTAAGCGCCCAAAACATTCACATATACAAATACTTTAAAGACGATACAACATTGTTGCAATGTATGATTTCATTTAATGAGATGTTCGAGAAAAAGTTCAATATTGAAGTACAAACTTTACAGCCTTTACGTGAGTTTCTTGCACAACTGAAAGAAGAAGGTAGTCAGCCACAACTTATAGACTTTCATTATGAATTTAATGAAAATGAAGATGGAACTCATGACTGTCAGTTTTGTATATATCACCATTCAATGAAGTCGCTAAAAGAAAGAAAATCCATTACGTATAAGGTTTCAAATCTCTGAACCAATGATGACTTCAAGAATGTTTTCAATTATGATGCAATACTTCCGAGGAAAAATGAATTTTCAAAGATTGTAACACCTGGCATTTGGGATAGAAAGCAAGCTATATTATATTCAAACTTAAGTAAAGGAGTTGAAAATGAGTTCATTGGTCATACAAGAACTTCACCACTTCCTAACCCTAAATACTATAAATTAACTGGCTTCAATCGTGAGTTTTGGATAGACATGTTCTCCACTCATGACCATAAATGTCCAGTGTTCTTGCCTCCAGACCATAAGGACTGTCTCTACATTGAAGCACAACTCTTAAACTCTACCATCGCAGTATTGTAAAATCTACGCTAGCTTTATTTTTATCACGAATGACCTCATTCATGACCTCATTGCTGACAAAAATAAATGACCTCAGAACTTCAACTTACGAATAAAGCTTGTTTTAGTCGTTATTGAAAAGTTGAACTTTTCAGCAAAGCAAGGTTGACATGACTTACATAAGTCGAATGCAATCTCTTGACCATCATAAAGTGCTTTGTAAAGTTTCATTAAACTGAACTCAGAGTCTTTGTCATATGTTCCAACAGGTATGTGAATGTTCTTATCTTCATTGTAATAGCATTGTATAGCTTCAGGAAACATTTCATTAGCGGTTAAAGCAATAACATCTTGCTTCACGCCTTTCATTCTGCAGTGAAATGCAACTTCATTTAAATCATTCGTGAGTAAGTCTATGTAGGTCTTCTTTCCACAGAAAATACTTTTATAAGCTAAACTTTGTTTTCCAGGTGTTATTTCTGCAAAGTCGCTATGAAATTGACCAAGGTTCTTTCCTATAAGTTCTCTACCGTATCTCTTCTTAAACTCTGCTGCAAGCTTTGGGATGTCTTCATTATATAAGTGCATACTGTCGGTATCCTGGTAAAATATTTGAAGACCCATGTCCTCTGCAGTACAGAATACTTCATTCATAATACGTTTTGACATAGACAGAATATTAACACCAAGTGGACAGAAGTTAAAGTGTCTGCAAATGCTTTTCGTTAGCTTGAAAATAGTTTTATCTGAACCATCCAAACCTTCGAACTTCACTATATGGTTGTAATTTCTTATAGCATATCTTATAGCATCTTTGTCATCTACTATGGTTATTTTTTGACTCAATAGGAGATAGAATAGTTTTGCCATAAATGCTGTTCAGAATGAGTTTTATAATTTCTTGTAAGGGGTTTTCTTCTTTCTTATACTTTAACCTTAACTCAAACAACTTCTTTACTTCATCTCTTATTCTCATATCTCTGTTTCCATCGTAATAGTATCCTTGCAACACTTCACATTTGACACCTTGATATTTTATGAGGTCTTGTAATGTTATATGGTCAACATACATGAGACAGCAAGTGTTTGAACTTCTTGGAACGTTAAGTTCTGGATTTAGTTCAGGGTCGCAAACTATTAAATGAAAGTGTCTGGGTATACCAATCTCTGTTATCTTAATGAGAACAAAGAAGCCAGACATAAACTTTTCACCAATGGGTTCCTTTTGGTCATCATCGAATAAATGTCTCATGAGATACTCTGTGTTTAACATTTCTTCCTTCAATACTTTTGGAATACCTTCTAAAGTATAAAGTCTTGCTATAGCTGAAGGATATAATGAAACAGTGTCGAAGTCAGCAATGAGTTTCTTTTTGCTCTTTTGTTTCATGTTATCTGACAACATACATCTTCCACCTTGAATGCATCTCGAAATAAATTCTCTTGGTTTATTTGAGAGGTCATAAAGATTTCCATTCGGGAAGTATACTCTGTTCTCAAACAATTTGTTAGCAATTGAACAAATACTAACGTAGTCATAAACGTTTAAATCAAACTCTTTCAATAAGTCATTGCGGAACTTTACAAAACCTTCTCTTAAAATTCTTACATCTTGTTTGCAGTAAAACGTGCTATATTTTTCTAAGTCGAAGTGGTTCTCATCTATTCTGCAACCTTTGATGGAATCTATGTTTTTCATAAATGTATCTGCATCCCGGATAAACTTACATGCTTCAGAAATGACACCAGTTCTGTTGTCATTTGCTAACAAAACACTGCTGTAGTAGTTATATGGAAATACTTCTTTCGGTCCTGTTTGTAAGTTAAACATAGCAGGAAATAGTTTAAGCTTCTTATTTATAACACTGTAAGAGTCTTTTATAATAATTGCCCGTCCTTTATATAAACCAGTTATTTGCATTGTTCGTGAACCTTTAATGATGGGAGTTCCTTTCACTTCTGTCATGTGTCTTAAGATGAAGTTTATGTCATAACTGAGGTTGTGAAAATATATTAAACTCTTGTCAGGGAGTCTTTCCAAAAATTCTGTTGCACAGTTTTGACCCCAAATGCTTTCACTCACTGAACCATCTTCACTGTCATAACAGATGTTAAAAGCTTTATGAAAGCCATCCGTACTACACTCAAAGTCAGCAAAGAAAACGTGCTCAGGAATGAATTTACATTTAGCTTTATTTACTTCTTTTGACTCTGCTTTCTTCTTCAGTTGTACACAATACTTTGGAGCATATGTCAAATCTTTAAATGGTGCAAGGTTCTGTTTATATAAGTCAGTAGTATATGTGAAAAGTTCTCCATAAGAAATAGGTTCGAAATATTTGCACTCCCACAATTTTTCATAACATCCCATAACGGTGTTGTTCTATCATAACGAACTACATATTTATCTTCTCTCTTTGTATAAATCTTCATCTGTTTCTCAATGTTCATTCCACCACAAGCTTTGAGAATTTCTTTATAGTTTCGAATGAAGTATGTTGTCATTGGAAGTCTTTCATTTAGCATGTAGTGGTCTTCAACAAGAAGTAAGTCAATAGTTCTAACAGTTTCGCATTCTTTTGGTATATATCTCTTTATTTCATTATGTCTTGAGTCATTGAAATAACCAATGGTAACATTAAATGCTATACCTGTTGCGTCAGAAATTTCTTGTACTTTACTTTGAGGAAAGTCTCTAACACGAATGACTTCTCTCATGTGGTCAATAGTTTCTTCATTTACTCCAGCCTGAATGCAAGCATAAACGAAACAATTGTCCTCTGTCATAAGTGTTGCAGTTCTTTTGTTCAGTTCATTGAAGATTTGGTAGCGTTCAAGATTTATAGGTAATGTGCAAAGATACTTCCATAACTGACCGCTTCTCTTCTTATAAAACTTCTTTTCACCATTATCTTTCCAAAAGCTTTCTATAAGTGCTGGGTTTCCTGTTTGCTTAAGAGCTTCCAAAATGGCTTTCTGGTCATTTGTCAGTGTGCTTTCATCTCTATATGGTCTCTTTTTTGGTTTGCCTTTCTTTACATCTGACATCGTTAAGCCTTCATATTCTGTTAAATCATACATCTTTATTTCAGTAAGATTCTTTATGTTTGTCAAGAAGAAGTCATAGTGCATTTCAACAATACCTGCAGCATTTGCTTCTATCTCTGATATAAAGTTCTCCTTCAAGAGCTGATGTAGTAATGTTCCAATATTATTGAGGTTTAACGTAGAACATTCATACTTTCCACCAAGTTTATAACATACCATCCATCTTTGTTGTGAGTTTATTTTAATTTTCTCTAAGAGTCTCATGAAAACCTTACCGAAATGTTTGTGTAAATATTCTCTGTTTGGTTCATCTAAAGCTTCGATGTTAAAGTCAATGAGTCTATTGCCTGACTTCACATTTCTCTTCCTATTCTCTTCATCTTTCTTTAACCATCTCTCACCTTCTTTTGGTTTGTCGTCAATGGAACGAATGACATCGTTAGCTTTGCGAACTTGTTCTATAGCACTTTTAAACATCTCTCTTCTCTGTTGTTTCAGTGTGTCGTCTCTTCTTCTTGTTTCACCAACGTTCGCATTTGTTATGTCAAACATCTCTTGACGAAATCATAAGAGCTTTACTATGACCAACGTTCATGTCACTTGACGAACATCATGCGAAAGAGCTTTACGAGTATGACCAACGTTCGCATTTGTTATGTCAAACATTTCTCTTCTTACTTCATGAGGTACTGAACGTCTATGATATAAGTCAATAGCAATGTCATTTAAAGGAAATGCTCTTGCATGGACTTCGTCCTCGCCGCGTTGCGGCTTTATGAACTCATGAATTCTATCATAACTTATTGCACCATTGTAGTCTTTAATGAAGTCAGCGAGTGCTTTTTTGTTTGTCGCGTAATGTTTTGCAACATCTATATTAGCTTCTGTAAGAAGTTGTTTTATTTCCGAGTGTTCTAACTTAGACAACTTCCGATACATCTTTAGTAGGAAATAAAAAAATATTTTTTCGAAAAAATAAACTTAGAAAAATTATTTCTTTATATATTTGCCATTCCGAACTTCGAAAAGATGTTTTATACCAGCATAGAATTTTCTCTAGAGCTTGGTCTTATATCGTTTTCATGACAATATTTTCTATATTCTTCATATAAAGCCTTTTTTTCATACATTTTATAAGGACAATCTAACCAGAATAGCGCATATCCATTTTCGTTATCTAGGTCTCTATATGTTTGTGGAATTTCGCTTTCTTCTGTTTGTAGAATTTCGCCTTCACTATTTAGTTCTATGTATATATATTGTGGAATTTCGCTTTCTCTATTTAGTTCTATGTCTATATATTGTGGCTTAAAAGGATGTGGGCAAGAAGGGTCTGGCGCTATGTAAAAAGTTAATTTTTCTGTCATCTTTTCTATCGGATAAAAAATATTTTTTGAAAAATTAGATTACATTTTTTTAAGTTATTTTTCAAAATAATTTAATATTTTATTTTAATGAAACACATGCAAGATTGCAAGTTCTTTTCATACAATGCTCTCGCTACTGCCATCAAGAATGAGTTCAATGGTTCTGCAAACGTTAATGTTATCTTTAACAAGAAGTTTGTGAAAGAATCTAAGTTCGGTCAGTATGTCAGACCATTAGCTATTGTCATTGACCGCAAACGTTATACTTCACAAGAGTTAGCAGTAGTTTTGAAACAAAAGGGTTTCTTCGTGAATGTCAAAGATACTCATTATACTGTTATAAAGAACTCCAACATTGACTTCTTCAGTATTGCTATGAATCTTTCCGAACAGAAAGAATATAAGAAGGGTGAAACAAATGTGAAATATTATCCTTCATCTCTGAAGACAATAACGAACAAAGATGTTATACAAAAGTTCTTACCAAAGGTTGAAGAAGCTTCTATTGACATTGACGAAGGAAGTGAAATGGTTGAAGAAATTGACCCTGAAGCTATTTAACCAAAAATATATTTTTGGTGAAGAGGTGAGATTTCACCTTTTTTTCACCTCATTCTCTCTTCGTTAATGTTGTCGTGACTTCTTCGTTAATGTTGTCGTGACTTCATTCTTCCTCTTTGAAGTTATCGAAATATTCTGTTATTTTTTCCTTCAGTAATGGTAAGTCTTCTTGGAAGGTAAGTATTGTGCAACCTTTGATGTCATAGTGTGTTTGAGGAAGAGTATTTTTGACAATTTCTTTTATTTGCTCATTCGGTGTCATTGAAATCGGTAAGTTTTCACGATAGAACCAGTTTCTGTCAGATTTATATATTTTAGCAAGGTCGTAAAAGCTTTTGTTGTTTCTTCTGACTAAATGCAACATAACCATATCTCTGTCTTCTTCATTCTCCAACTCTTCAGTATAAATCATATACTTATAGTTCTTTTCCTTTCCTTTTGGTACTGAACGCGGTATTCTTTTCTGTATGCTTTTGTCTTTGGATTCAATGACTTCATCTTTTGCTTGAAGTTTCTTTTCCATCTCTCCACGTTCTTGTCTGTGAAGTTCGTCAAGAAGTTTGTAAATATTCCAAGCATAACGTGGTGAAGCCCACATTGCAACTGCATTTACTAAAAGTCTATGAACATAATATCCTCTCAAACCGTTTGGCAATTTTTCACGGTTTTCATAGAGTTTTGGCGACTGGGGTTTTATACCCACTCGCTGTGCTTCGCTGTTTTCAGAAAAAAGTATGTCTCGCTGTGCTTCATTTAATAGTTCAATAGTGCTTTGGTTCCTAAACCAGTCTTTAGGAAGCTTAGTATCTGGAGCAAAACAAGCCGTCAAAATACTTTGCATTTGGTACATGTCGTCTTTGACAGAACGAATGAGTCTCAATTGTTTGTTATATTGTATGTATTCGTATTCTTCATTTATGACTTCATGAACGATAGCAGTTGTTGTGTTCTCTAATGTTGACATATCTGTCTTTACATACAGGATAAAAAAATAAATAAAATAAAAACTAACTTTATTTTTTCTATCTTTCACAAAAGACCAAAAATAAACGCTTTACATGTATTTTTCAGCAACTTCGTCAAATAATTTTATAGCTTTATCTATCTCATCTACTTCAAACGTTTCTTTACCTTTTATGGAGCACCATACATTTTCTCAAACTTTTCAAGTAGTTCTGTTTCAGCAGCTCTCATATCGTTAACGAACACAACCTTGACTCTATTGACTGTACTGTCATATCTTTGAGTTATATTATATGTTCTTCCTATCTTATATCTCTTTGTATTGAAGTCCTTCGGTTTCTGAACGATGTAAAGTAAGCCTTCACTGCAACGTTCCGTATCGAATGAACCATATGTTATGAAGTTATATCCAACAACTGGGTCTAACCATAACAAAACTATTGGTATAAGACTTTTGTCTATAAGATATGCTGTAGTTCCATAGAATCTTACCGATATCATAAGCTTAGGATTTCTTGTCAAAATTTTCTGAGTAGAAGCAATTTTAACCCAGTCGTGGGATGTTTTCTTTCCAGATGGAGATATAATGTCTGACAAAGAATATTTGTTGTATTTCTTTGAGTATCTTACGTTTAAATCACCTATTCTAACCACTTTGGTGTCATTGTCTATCTTTTTAACTGTTTCAAACTCAGTGTTTGACATTTTTGTTCTTACATACAAAATAAAAAAATAAATAAAATAAAAACTAACTTTATTT